TATGTTACAGGTATAAAACTGAGACGTAATAAGCATTATATTGGTAACAGGTAATTAAAATAAGAATAATAGGAGTGTATGTGAAGTAACAGGTATTAAATTTAGAACATAGGACGTCTATATGGTAGGGCAGGTATAAAATAAGAATCAAGGAGTCCTAGTGTATGGACGTGATTAAAATAAGGAATAAGGTGTACTATGTACAGTATAAAATGAGAATAAGGAGTTTAGGTATGTACAGATAAATATGAGAATAAAGGCGAGTTATATGTAACAGTTATAAAATAAGAGATAAAGATGGTGGATATGTACAGTATAAAATGGGAATAAGTGTTGTGCCTACAGTATGAAAATAAGAAGTAAGAGTAGTATGCTGACAGCTATAAAACGAGAATTAAGAGTTATATGTAGAGTATAAACAGCTTTTCACACACAGATGTGGCTGATAATGAACATTGTACAGGAGGCAGTGGGATGGAGTCAGACAAATAACTGCACAGAACTGAAGATATATAGAATAAAACGGTTAAATTCGCATATTTTACAGTGAAATGTCAAACAATAGCTGCCAACAGAGCCCAGAGCCAGCCGGGATGAAGTGATCAACAGATAAGAAAGGCCTGCGGGGATAATGTTACTGCTAGCTGTTAGCATGCTAACAACACCTCGACCTTAGCAACCAGGCCGACGACCGTTTGAACGTCGTGTTCCCGCGGGTCAAACCCTGAAATAAACCCTTTTAATGTGTCGGGAATCGTTGATTTACGTTAAAATACGCCAAACAGTCGAGGTGCGTGTGTCGTTGGCTGGTTTCTACCCCTCAGATTACCACTAGCTTTACTAAAGGGCGGATGCTTCAGCTAGTTAGCTTGTGTTAGCTCGCCGCTAACGGCCGACACACACACATTCAACGGTCGTCAACGGTCGTCAACGGTCGAAAGATCGCCGTCGTTTTACAGACACACGGCGACGCCATCACTCGCACAACCGACGCTCGCATGTAATGAACGAGCATCGGTGAGATTTGACTTTTATTTAAAAACCTCGGCACAGTGACAGCTCTTTCAGATCCGTCCGTTACAGGAACCGCTTTAGCGAGCGAGCTAGCGGTGGCCGGCCGTTAGCTAAATGCCGCGTCACAGTGCAGAGAGAACACCGTGACGTCACGTCGAACGCCGCATGAAAGCGGGCCGCTCGCGCCGAGCAACGGTCGGCGGGCGCGACGAGACGTTGGTAGCAGAGAAAACGGCGCGTTTGAGCGGAGTTTTACCTTTAGAAAAGACAGCTTCTCGATCTTTCCGTTATCTTTCACTGTCACTCCAAAATGGCGTCTTGCGCAACCAGGGAGACACCGGCGTACGGGCACTTCCCACTATCAAACCCGGTCCAATGGCGGGGCGAATGGTGTAACTGATAACCCGCCTCCGCTCGGCCGCCGTCCTATCACCGGCGGCGGCTCTCTTGTGTGCACAGGGCACAAAATGTCGAGGAAGTGAACCGCACACAAGTTTATTCAAGTTTCAGCCACAGTAGACAACAAGACTCACCGGACTCAGTGTTTGTAACGGGGGTCTGTGATCACAAGCTTTATAAAACACTGCAGCTGTCAGGTCACATTTACTGAGACTGGATTGTTGTTTTATTCTCTTTTTATTGAGTTGTACCGAGGTTCCTAAGCTACGGAAGCCTGGTAACGCCAATGTAATGGGGGCAAGATATTCTGTGAGTCAATATAATTAGAAACCAAGTCAAAAATATGAAAAACCTTCTCAATATTTTCCCTTTTTTAAAAAATAATGAGAAACTTTCTCA